TCTTTCTTTCTTTCTTTCTTTCTTTCTTTCTTTCTTTCTTTCTTTCTTTCTTTCTTTCTTTCTTTCTTTCTTTCTTTCTTTCTTTCTGCAAGATAGATAGAAAGCCTTATGTTCTTACTGGGTATAAATGTAAATAATGATCCTGCTAACAAAACAGTTAATTATGAATATTTAAAAATAAAGAGCAGGAGCCGGACGATAAAAGCTAAGAGTAAAGACAAAAGTCGATGCAGAAAGTTGTAAAATTGTATATATCTGTTGTTAGTATTGTATTTTAACGTCTGATGTAAGTGTGTGTGTTTTTGTTTGTTTGTTTTTTTGGTCTCTTGACTTCTTTTGCTATTGTGTGTTTGGTTTTAAACTGTAAAATACTCAATAAAAATTATTAAAAAAAAGAAAGAAAGCCATATGTTCTAGCTCGTAGACTCGTAGGAGGGAAAAGTTTTACAAAAAGCAGAAGGGGAAAAAAAAGGAATAAGAAAGACGGAAGATCGTGTGTCTTGTTTTAACTACAAGTCGTTTTCAATTTACGGCCAAAATCGAACCGTTGTAAGTCAAGGGCTTACCTGTATTCAACGAAAACTCTTTAATCTTGGGCAACGTAATTTTTAATCAGAATAGAGCTGAAAAGGGACCTTGGAGGTCTTCTAGTCCAGCCCCCTGCTCCAGCAGGAGAAGCATCTACCATTCCAGACAAGGGACTGTCTATGTCTCTTGTTAAAAGGCTCCAGTGATGCATCACCCACAACTTCTGGTGGCAAGCTGTTCCACTGGTTAATTGTCCTCACCGTTAGGAAGCTTCTCCTTAATTCCAGGTGGCTTCTCTCCTTGATGAGTTCCCATCCTTTTGCTTCTTGACTTCTTCATCATCTCCAGTGCTGTGTAAGGTGTATATCTCTGTGGAGACGGGTTTGTGGTTTATCCTTATTTTCAGGAATCCGGTTGATTTTTAAGACTCACTTATATACTAAATGTTCTGTCTACGGTTTCTGTTTCCACCTTAACTGCCCCTCGAGCATCTGCAGAACCAATCACCCAGTCCTGCCTATGTAAGCATTGCTATTTTTCTATCTTTTTTTTTTTGCAATTGTGCTGATCTTGGACCAACCGCTTATTTCTTTCCATTGCTTCCATCTTCCGATCCCCAGCCGTTTTTTTTTCCTTCCCAAGACTCCTTTCCCAAACTAACAGCTTCTCTTTGGCGAGGGCCGGAGACGCCCGTCTCCTTATAGATCGTTTTCTCAGCAGTCCAGCTCTTGTCTCGGGTTTCCCGCAAGCAAAAGTTGCGATTATTTCCCCCCCCAAAAAATGTATTGTTATAATTATAGTTTTCTTGCTGCATTCGAGAAAACCCAGATGTTTTTTGTGTCTAAGGTGGGACTAGAATTCACCGTCTCCTGGGGATTGGCACAAAATCACCCAGTCGGCTTTCGTGCTTAAGGTGGGACTAGAACTCACCATCACCTGATGATTGGCCCAAAATTTACTGAGCCATCTTTCATGCATGCCTAAGACGGGACTAGAACTCACCAGCTCCTGGTTTCCAGCCTCATGGCTTAACCACTAGACATTGAAATAAGCAGGATGCTTTCTGACCATCTCAAGTGGGTGTAGAAGAGATGAATTCCTGGGGTCACATGATCCCCTTTTGGGACCCTCTGAACAAGCAAAGTCAATGGGGAAGCCAGACTCACTTAACAACCATGCTACTCACTTAACAACCGCCGTGGTTCGCTTAACGACGGTGGCAAGAAAGTTCGTAAAATGGGGCAACTTCACTGCTGTCAAGTTTCCGAAAGATGCCCTAATTAATTCATGAGCCATGATCCAAACTTCAAAGGAAATATAGTCATTTATTAGCAGCAACATTCTGGCAATACTGGGATGCAGTTAGGACTGATCCTGCGTAGATTTACGTTCCCCTATGACCCTGTCTCTCCCCTCCTCTCTGGCCATGTCATAAATCACATTCTCCAATTAACCACTTTGGCTGGCTGTGAAACCTAACACCCTCCTTCTGATTGCGGTCAGGAAGAATGTATGGAACGCACTTCAGTTCTCCCTCCCTCCTGCTCATGGCAACTTGAAAGCTTTGCAAGTTGACAACTGCCTTGCTTAGCCATGGAAACTTTGGGCTCGATTGGTGGGTCGTAAAACAAGGACTACCCGTAGTGAGGGAAGACCAGAACGTTAGGATCGATGACAGGCTGGTAAAATTGCCAAAACAGCTATTAAAACTGCCTGGAAAAGTTGCAGAATTAATTTCAGGCTGCCAATATGAAAATGCCCCTTTTGGGAAACCGGGGAGGTTGCTTCACATCAAGCATTAATTCCATTCGAAAGAGGTGTTTTGCCTTGTACGTGTGTGAGTCACGCCGTGTAATTTTTATTTGCTTTGACTGAAATGTCAAACACACTCCAACTTCAACTCCATGCAGAGTGTCTATTTTTCCTCTTATAATTTAAAAACATTGCATTTGAAAAGAGATTGCTAAAAGAA